TTAGTGCGCGTGGCTGATATTTTTGCCGTCTCTATCATCATTAATATGCCACACAACATACCTTTATTACCACATTTGTAGCCTTGGATCCGCTGTGGCAAGTTTATAGTTTCGCCAATCTTCCCGCAAAGGTGGAAAACTTGTTGTTGTTCGTCTGGCCACGCGTTCTTAATTATGTCTAGTTTTCCCACTGTTGAATCATCTTTCATGAGATTGTAGATTGCACGAGGTACACATATGGTAATTACATACACTGTTGGTTCATACTTGCCGACCTCGCATTCAAGAGAGCTGTCTTCAAAATCACGAACAGTTAAAAATCGTGGTTTTTCGGGACCTCGTTCAGTAAGAGTTTTCTACAAAATAATCGGATATTAAACACATTTGCATAACTCAGAAAAAAAGAAAACTAAGATTAGCTTACGAGTAATTTTGTTGTTCCGGGTTCAGCACTTAAATCATCGAGTGATTGTAGTAATTGATCAAAATTAATATCTTCTAAATAAAGAAAGTAGAATAATTTACATGAGGTTATAAACTAAATTTGGCTCGGTTACTTGAGTCCGACAGAATACGTCTAGCAGTAGCTTCCCGTGGATGCTTGCTGATACGATTTTCCAATATTGATTTTATTCGAATTGATTGAGTTGACGTTATGGTACTAAACAAGAATAGCCTCATGAATTTCAATAATAAATTGAACAAATAAGTTTTACTTGTTTGCTTTATTGGTGCACATCGAGCGTGGTTTAGGAACAGGAACCACAACTGGTGACTTTGATCGACTAGTACCACTTTTCGACCGTGAAACTTGACCCGTACGAATAGATAATTCTCTGTTTGTCGTATTCTTGAATTCTACTGAGTGATGTAAATTGACATCAGTACTAAGCAAATGAAAATTTATGTTGGAACAATCTCTCATAAACGAAAAAAGAGTTTCTTACGTTTCTGTATTAATTCTTCGACATGATCGAGGTTTCGATTGTGGTATTTTTGTTTGAATTATTATTTTGGATTTGATTTGTGGAGCACGGATAGGAATTAACTCTTTTTGTCGAATAACTCCTTGGTCTAAATCAACAGATTGAAAATAAATAAGACTGATGATTATGAATAACTTACTTTTTATTGGTTGAACAAGCAGATGCTCAGTACGATCATCCTCTTCTTTTTCTTTTTCTTCTTCTTCTTCTTCTTCTTCTTCTTCTTCTTCTTCTTCCTCTTTTTCTTCTTCTTGTTCTTCCTCTTTTTCTTCTTCTTCTTCCTCTTTTTCTTCTTCTTCTTCTTCTTCTTCTTCTTTTTCTTCTACTTTCACCTCTTCTACTTTCAATTCTTTTTCTACTTCAATTTCTTCTTCTACTTCTACTTCCATTTCAACATTACCTAAAACAATACATATTTATTGTCGACTACGAATTGCCAAGTACATTTTTGGAGACTTACCTATCACGATTCTTTTCACTACTCGCGATTTTTGATTGGATGTATTTGCTGCGACATTATTGCATTCACCAACACGTTTTTTAGATCGTAATAGCATTGTGAAAACACTCAGTCTATAGACGGAAGAGCAACAAAACGGCAATTATAATAGTTATCAATTAGCGCAAACTTCACTTGTTTTAACAAAAAAAAATACAACAACTTTTCACACATTATTTTTTTTTCTTTTTGTCAAGCTCGCCGTAATCATATCCAGGGGCGGCGCGAAGAGGTCAAAGCAGGGAGGTATTTTCAAAAAATGGGAGGAAATGTGAAAAAACGCACCGAACTTCAAATTTTGAGGTAGGGTAGGCAAAAGTTTTTATAAATTTTTCGAAAAACTTTGTAAAATTTTCCAAAGTTTTCGAAAATCGATGAGCAAAAAAACGAAAATTTTCAAAAACTGGAGGTGCCCTCCCCCACCCCCTCTCGCGTCGCCCCTGATCATATCAACCGGCTCGAAATTTTTCATGCCATGCAGAGTTGATAAAAATTATATCATTGGAAAGAGCATCAAAAATTGAGTGTTGGGTATTAAACTTTAGAAATGGGTACTCGGTAGCCTCAAGCAGATTTTTTCAAAAATTGATTTTCAAGCGAAATCAGCGAGAATTTATGTTTTTCTCTAAACGATTTTTTTCTTGTCTGTTCGTTCTTTTCTGTTTCTCATTCTGAATCACCAGCATATATATAGGGCCGAAAAATTAACCGTCCACCCGAAATCATTTCTACCATTTGTCAACATGAATTTTGGTCCAAGCACATACAAATCGCATGAAATTTTGAGGATATGTTGAGACTATGGTGGAGAAGCTATGGTAAAATTTTCAACCCTATACCATGGAGTATGACGAGAATATTAACCAAACAATAGTAAATAGTAGCTAATTTTACAATCCAGATTTCTCTGTCTACACTCATCATATATATTAAATTTTTTTTTCTTTGAAAGAGCATGTCAGGATACAAGGCATGACGGAGTCTTTTTTTTTGAGAGCTTACTTTTTAAGCGAAAAAGAAATGGATGACATATTCAATGACTAACTATTATAATTTATCGATAGTATATTGAAACTTTAAAATCGATCGATATGTTTCTTGTCAGATACAAGTACCTTATCTGCACACTAGTCGTTCGAGCTTTACCTAAAATACTTAATTCTTTTTTGTTATTGTTGTGTGAAACAACAGCAATAAAAAAATGAAAAAATAAGTCTATAATTCTTATAAACAATTGATGTATTTTTTTTGTTGCTACAAATAGAGCAAGACAAAATTAAAAGAATGTTTCATATAAAGTGAAATATGTATGCACTAGTTGTAATGATTTTATGATAATAATTGATGACATTGTATTTGAACATTTACTTGATTCAGTTCAAATTCAATGAATAAGACGAAAAACATGCAAGAAAAAAAGAAATGAAGAATAATTCGCATAGAGTAAGTTGGAGTAAATGTAGACAAAAGATTAATGAGCTCACGCATATCATCTATAACTTTTTTATTTTCGATCTTTTTTGAAAAGCTTTCTTCACATGATACCTAGCTGAATCTCTCTTCTATCGATTGGTGAAATTTGTTTCTCAAAATCTTGTGAGTATCGTTATCTACAAGATGTTCTTTGAGAACTACTTTTCGATTCTATATTCATCCCATTTGGGTGAATGCAGAATTACAATGGCACTATTCGAGTAAATACAGAATCTCAGCTATTTTACACATCTTGACTAGTCGCAATCCAGAATATTTTTTAAAAGGTACTCACGTAATTGAAAAAAGTTGATTGTACTTTGGTCACTATGTGAACGATGATGAGCTAGTTGTGTAAATAGATCGCTCATATAGAATTACACTATTTATATGATACTGTTCTATTCCTGATTGGTTTATTTTAGACGATATGATGTTTTAATCCAATCAACGAATGGTGATTTTTTTAACACCATTAGTGATGAAAAAATATCACATCTATAATCATATATATGTTGAACGATAAACCGCTCCCTTATAAAGCAGAACGAACTAAAATATTATTTGTATCGGTGATGAAAAAGTTCACATTTCATGATTATCAAAGCACGTTTGATGAAAGTAACGGACTCTCAGTGTTAAGTGGATTGACATAATGAGATTTGGTTTAATCGTTAAGTCTATTACGACCCATCGTCAGTAGTATAAATACTCACCCCCTTTTCTTAGTATACACTCATCTTCTAAACACATACGCATACAAACATGGTTATTCTCAAAGTAGAAAGAACATTTATGCCTGACATGGAAAATATTGTTATCGTTAATTCAAATGTTGAAGAGCTAAAACCGTTCTCGTAAGTAAATTTATATTGCTTAGGAGTTATTTGTTGCATGTTCCGAGTGGTAGGTCCATGTGAATACTTTATGGATGGGAAAGATAGAGAAGCAATGAGTAATTGAATGAATAGATTTTTTATTTTTTCATTTTTCAGTGCTGATTGAGTGAAATGGAGATAAGATGAAAAGAAAATATTGATAACCAGAAATCGAGGAAAGAAAAAAAAAGAAACAACACGATAAAATGAAAAAAATTATCTATATATCTTTTTTTTTAAGTGAAATCACAATTACAAAGTCGAATGGTGTTCATTATCAATTTCGATTGATAATGAATTCATGTGTTTCAATGGGATACGTGCTTATAGGTGATAGAGAGGTGAGAAAATCATCAATTATTCTTTTCGAATATAATGGTTGTTTTTTCTATATGATAGAGCCGCATGTGTCGTCTCCATCTGGGTCACGAATATCATGTGGAAGGCGTCGCATCATCATTGATAGTGGAAAAAAGCCTATCATCGATTTTTCTCTTATTAAACTTGCCGGCTATTCGTTCGCAATTGAACAAATTGTCAAACGCGCTTTAAGACCACGGAAATTACCAACAGATACGTGTAAAAAATCAGGTAAACGATATTTATTTTGTGCTCACATGATCTCTAGTATTTATTTTACAGGTCTTCAATTTGTCCGTGGTGTAATTTTATACGGTCCACCCGGCACAGGAAAAACGACTATTATAAGGTATGTCATTCAAATGAACTCAATTTTTCTAACAAATATCGTTTTAATTTATAGAGAATTGTGCGGATATTTCGATTTCAAACCAAAAGTTATCAACGGTCCACAACTGTTAAACTCTTTGATCGGCAAATCTGAAGAAGCAGTACGGCTGCTCTTCAAAAAAGCTGAGAAAGATCAAAGAGATGTAAGCTATTGATATCGAGGAAATTGTAACTAGTTTTTATGATATTTGTTTCTTTTTCGGCGCATTTAGAAAGGTGATTCAAGTCCACTACATGTAATCGTCTTTGAAGAAATAGATGCTCTATTTTCAAAGCGAACATCAAGTGTAAGTTTTGATAAGCTCATATGTACGCTCTACAAGACGCCATTTGTTTGAAAATAACACTTAGTAAATTTCTTTATAGGAAGGTGGATCAGATACACGCAACGGTATCGTTAATCAGTTGTTGACAATGATGGATGGTTATAATGCATTGAACAACATTTTGGTTTTTGGTAATTTAATTAATAAATATCATACAAAGAGTTCAATGTGTTTCTTTAATTTAGGTACAACCAATCGTTTGGATATGATTGATCCAGCACTACTTCGTGGTGGTCGGTTTGAAGTGCAAATTGAAATTGGTACGTTTGTAATGATGTTATTGACATGATGATGAATGTTTATGTGATATTTTTATTAGGTCTTCCAAATGTACAAGAACGACTGGAAATTCTTAATTATCATCTTGAGGAACCTCGAAAGAATGGATTTCTGGCTTCCAATATTTCAACAGCTAATCTTCAGCAACTTGCTAGTGTTACCAATAACTACAGTGGTGCTGATATAGCTGAACTCGTACGATTGGCTACATCTCATGCAATTGATCTAATCTTTGAAGTAAGTGCTTTTGAATATTCATTTTTTTTTCAAATCTCGCGATCATTTTTTAGGATACCATAACTAATCTAGACAAGCTTAATTTAGAATATGCCAATATTCGTATTGGATGGAATGATTTAATCACCGCCTTTTATCAATGTGAACAAATACGGCGAAAGCGTGAAAATGAAATAAAAACAAACAAAAATAATGTTAACGACGATAAAACTGATCATAATTAAATTCTTTGTTTCTTTATCATTTTGTTTTTTTGTTTAATAACAGAAAAACAATGTTTATTAACCAGCTTGTTTTGCTAATTCTGCTCTAGAGTATTTGTCTATGTACGTTATTTATAAAATAATGATATCCGTTAATTATGTCATATAGTAATGAGTGTGAAATTATTTTCTAATTGTTTTTTTTTGTTATGCCTATATTCTTTGCTTTTTTTTCCTTTATCGATAAATCGATAAGGAAAGAAATTGAATCAGACGACAAAATAGAAAGATATAAGAAGAAAAAGAAACGTTCAATAAGCGAGGACACATCAAATGTGACACACTAATAATATATGCGGTTCAAAATAATGCATTATAGCGAAGCCTGATAGAAATATAATCAGACTTATTGATATAAAGTGAGGGTGAAAGGAAAAGTTTCCTCTCATCGTCACTCCCAGGATAGTTTTTCGAACGACATTAATATTTTCGACGTCTATTAATCAAATCTGAAGAATAAAATCATCAATAGAAATAGGAGAAAAAACAACAAAAAAGTTTCTTTCAAATGTATAATGTCATACTTTCAATTCTCAACAAAGATTTTCTTTCGATCAAACTCTTTATTCGTCTCTTTATCCAAAGTCAAAGCAAAGTTTATAAGTTCAACCTCAATCAAAGCTGAAGAAATCATCTTAGCAAATTTCAATTAAGAGATAAAAACATCAGAATTAAAATATTATTTCAAATTTGTGACTGATTAATGTTATGACCAGAGAAAAATTTCCTTGCGATTGAGATTTATCTTTCTCAGAGAAAAATAAGAAGAGACGCGATCTTTTTCCAAATCTATTGAGATATTTATTTAATCAAGAATCTATTTGATAATTCATCAAAAACGAAGAAAACAAAGCTTTCAATATTTCTTAGAAAAAAGTTCAGATCCTTGGTTGAACAAGATTAAGAATTCTATTCGCAATTCTGATGTCATCTTTCAAGAATCGCTAGAAAATTTAATTAGACAAACTTCATTCAATTCATTTAATGCAGACGAAGAAAAACAAATCATATTTCTAATGCAATAGAAAGACTTGCGACATGTCTGCTGTCAATCAACAACAAATAGAAAAACTCTATGATTATCATTTGATGATGTTAACTATATGTATGGTGATAAATTTTATTGATGAAAGATATATGTCTGACAAAAGAATTATTTATTCTTGACTAACAACACTTGTAAAACTTGTTATACTATTTGAAGTTTCTGTGTTTCGATATACAGTAAATTACAATGATCGTTATGATTATTAGTGTAATAATACCAGCAGCAATATCACCATAAGATAGAATATCATTCAAGTCTTTATTTGAACTATCATCACCTATATGACAAAAAGTATTAATGAATAAGATGTGAAATAGAAAAAGATTTGTATGTACCTGAAGTTGAAAGAGCAAGTGCTAATTGTTCTTCATTAATATTATTGGCATTTTCTATTACTTTTAAACAAAGAAAAGTATCAATTAAATGAGTTATTATTTAATAAAAACTAACTCTTTCATTCTCGATTTTATCTAATTAAGAATGATTTAAAGTTTATGTGAATATGAAAGAAAATTATGATCAGAGATTATTGATATAAACTGTATTCCATTTGTGGTATTTGCATCATCTGGACTCTAATGAACTATGAATACTCTTTAAAAAATTCGGACTCTTAGCTTATTGCTGTAACGATACTTCAGCAATGAAGGGCTACTGGAATTTATCGATTAGAAGTATGTTTGGTCATAAGACGGATAACGATATATATAGAAAAATCGTAAAAGATTTCGAAAAAAACAACTGGTTGAAGTTGCTGGTAGTAATACAGTATTCTTTGACTGGATGCTGCAGTCTCCCTCAAGACCGTTAGGAAAATTTGACTTGAAACTTTGTATAGAAAAAGCTTCAAACCTTAAGTATGAGACGTTTTTAGCATAGTCATATCTTAGTTGATCTCACGAAAAAGAAAATTAAAATTTTTCTATATAGATTTAAGAAACTTGTTGTATGTATCTGACGATATGATGGTTCCTTTTTAGAGTATTCATACCTCATCAAATTTTACATGATGCAGATAGTTCCGACTCACAAATGATTAATCAGTCGGGAGACTTTCCTCGTTAGTACATTTAAGCTGCATCTATCTTACGAAAATTCGATGATCTAATTGTAATAGATTAAATCATCAAAATCAATAAAAAAAATAATTTTATGTACCATTTGGTTGCTGCGAATTTTGATTTGTATTTCCAGTTAGATAGAACAGAAAAATATATAATATCATATGATTAGTAGAATTTGCTTTTATTCGCTTTTTACTCAATGCATTCCTTAGTGCATTAGAAAGAAGTTGAGGCTTTTTCCATTGGCTATACTCTCCGCTTACTGTTTTTTTTTAGCATGTTTTTGTTGTGAGTGGTGTGGTGATATGAAAGCACTATGTTAGACCTTGAACATTTGTAGTTTCATTAAGAAAAACAATAAGGATCATCTCTATAGAAAATAGCGGAAAATGATTAGTTTTTCAATGTTTAAGTTATCGAAACTTAGTCTATGTGCCAGATAAGCACGATATTCGGAATTAGTATTAAAAAAACCACTAAAAGACGTATTTCCCATTGTAAAATCTTTACCATCTAAATATTGTCCTTGGAGAACGAAAGGGAAAAGTTTAAAGAATAAAAAGTTGAAGCAGTAGCGCTATAACTTGGATGATAAGTATTTCACAATGGGAAATAGAGTTTTTGGTGCATCTTTTAATGCGGATCCAGAATATCGTGCTTACCTTGCACATAGACCGAGTTTGGATAACTTAAACGTCGAAATACTAATAATTTTCCCTATTTTCTATAGAGATGATTTTTATTGTTTTTCTTGGTAGAACTACAAATGTTCAAGATGTGACATAGTGCTTTCATATCACCACACCATCCACAACAAAAAAACTGCTAAAACAAAAAAAAAGTAAGCGGAAGTATAAGCGCCAACTCCTTTGATCGACAGCATTAATTCCATCAGCGAGAGCATCTACAACACTATTAGTATTCGGACCAGGTTTTTTGTTGTTTTTTTTGCAGTTGCTTGCTTCGTTGCTTTTACGGTTATTTGTACAGTAGTGCGTTTGGTTGTTAGAACTGATACTTTAGGTGAAGCTCTAACCATTATTTCTTTAATTCTATTTTTTATCTCTGAACATTCTGTCTCTGCTTTATTTGTTTTTAATTCAGATTGAACGAGAGGTGATGCTAAATCTAAAATTGATTCGAAGATTGTTCTTTTTTTTAATATTCAATAAGAATAAATTTACCTTCACATATGTACTGAGATTGTTGAATACATGAAACGTATTGAAGATAGATAGTATTTGTTATACTATTTTGTCGTATTTGTACACAATCAAAAAGTTATCTTTTTCATCATTATTACACCATGTATATAGTTCCGACCATTCTAAAAAACTGAAATCAAAATGAGTCGAGAAAATAATTGACGACTAAAACAACAATGTTAATTTTGTTTGATCAACTGAAATCATCAGATTAACACCGATCGTATCAAATTGAACCGGAAAAAACATATGATTGGAAGTAATGTTTTTCTGATTACTAGAATCAGAAGCAATTATGAAAAAATTTATTGCCATTAAGTAAAAATGTTTGATGTTATCAGATACAGAAAAAGTTTTAAAAGCTATTCAAAATGACTGAAATTGTCGACTCAATTTCGATTTCTTTTCTAGAATGTATATGTAGAATTCACTTCTCTTATAAGAAAATTAATTTAATTAAACACATTACTATTAACCATTATTTATTCGCACCCATACACCTTGATAAAAATAAAGACTAGCAATTAATACAACATTTCCATTTAATAAATATTTAATTTGATCTTGCAAAGCTGTAAATTCATGCATATTACTGATCATCAATGGTTGAGCAATCCATGATTTACAAGTTTTCTTAGCTTCATACTATATAACACCTGATGAATGACTGATGGCAAATAGGAGACATTTATTTGCTTGTAATTTTAACCAACTAGAAGCACAACCATAACAGGCACGAATATCTTCATGCCAAAAATATGGTTGTGGACGTGTACAAGTATGACTTTCAATATTACACATTAATTCAAGATCACAATCATCATCTGTTGAACATTTTTTCTCAATTGTAATTGAAACCAGAGATGTGCAGGGGGCGTGACGTAACGCCCCGTAATGCCCAGTACGCCCCGTGCAATAGGGGTGAAAATGGATACGTAATATTTGAATTAGCTATTCACATATTACGTACCCATTTTCACCCCTATCGCACGGGGCGTGCGGGGCGTTACGTCACGCCCCGTAATGCCCCGTGCACATCTCTGATTGAAACTATCTTAATATGTATACATTAAAACCATAGTTAAGTTATGTATATAGAATATTTACCAGAATACGATAGAATTAGAATCAAGGTTAGAAATGAACCGATGAAGTGAAACTGAAGTGATGATGTAAATATAGTGATATAAATTTATTATAATTTAAGATAATTATGAATAACAAAAATAATAGACAGAATAAATGATTTTACATTTATAAAATAGGTAAATACAGAAACTTAGTTTCCTAGAAGGCTATTTCATTTTAAAATACAAAGTTTACTATTCACAATAGTATTAATATTTAGTAAATTAAGAATAGAGGTATGAGGCGCCACCAATCCATGCATCGGCTTACATCTGTACCTAAGAATTTCTTTCTTTGAAAATTTCCATATTGAGAAGATTCTTTTGTTTTTAGTAAACAAAAATGCTCATGTCAAGTAGAGTTATTCTTTCTTTCCATCTTAACGGCATTCATTTAAAAAATGTTGTAAAAGTGCACCCAGGTCAAACAATCAGACGGTAAAACCTTACAGCAAATCATGGTATAAAAATAAATTCTATAATACAATTTAATGTAAAAGTTCTCAGACTACGAAAATGATATACAACAGATATGTATGTATCCATGTATCAATAATTCCATGAAAAAACTTTTTTGTTTTATTATAATATTTATTCTAAAATCTGAAATTCAACTGTCATCATTTCAAATTTAATTTGTTAAAAGTTGAATTGATTTTATTTACATAATGTCGATTATTGTGGACTAATTTGATTTATAGTTCGCCAACAAAAAATTCGTTTGTTTACCATTTATAAACGAATTGAAGAAGCCATAAAAACAAAAAACCTCCATATAAAACAGTAGGAAAAAAATTTTTGTTTTTTAAATTATCGTTTCAAATTTGTATAATATATACACTAGTATGAATAAATGTATTGAGAGAAATAATTGTAAAAACTAATGATTCTGTATTTAAACGATTTTTATCTTTAATAGTTTTAATTGTTACTAATGAATAAATATTTAAAATTCCATATGGAATAGTAGTTAAAATTATTAGAATAATTTGCATACAAATCATATTTACTAATTAACGATCTGCATGTTGATTAGTAAGACCTATTGATTGGCGTACATTTCTATAGGTAGGAAATCCAAATATAATTGTCAATGTAGTTGGTATAAATAAAAAAATCTCAAAAATAAATATTGGAAGATACAAAGTCAATACAATATTCATAGATGAACATAAATTTGTCGTCGGTGATATTTCATAATAAATAAGAAATGGAATACCATGAATTAAGGGGCTCCCTCTCTCAGAAACGATTTCCTACGTGGTATAGCACATTTGAGCTGAAATTTTCAACAATGACTTATCCTGGTGAGATATGCTTCTGGTACAAATTTCATCCGTAGAAATCGTATTAGATCGGAGTTCCAGCTGATTCATGACCCATTTTTGGAATGACTATAACTTCCTCACGACACGTGCTATAGAGCTCGGGATAGTTTCAAATTAAAGCTAATATCAGTGTCCAACTTTTGTCCGAACAGAATTTTGAAATTCAATTCCATTCATTTTTTATGAGCATTTTTGGTGACATGGTCTAAAAATCAGCATAAAAAGTGATGGTTCAACGATAGTAAATCCCACTTTTCTCAGCCCAGGAACCAACTATAAAAAACCCGTTCGGACAAAAATTTACTCTCATTGAGACCTTTAAAACAAAAAAGAAATATTGGGTATAGCCTGAGTCTGGAAAGAAGAGTTCCCATTTTCTTGTGTAGAAACCGTATTTTGAGAAAAACGCAAAAAAATTTCAGAACTGAATTTTTTCATTCAAATCCAGGAAAAATCATATTACAATGGTATTTTACTAATTCATTCCAATGGACCGTTTTAAAGCACGTAAGAGATGAAGGTAGCTAACGCCATCTGACATGCTGAGTAATATAAAAATGTTCTACTCAATGCCGATGCAAGTGGCAACGCATTTTTTCCAAAACTGAAAATCTTTAAAAACCACGAAAATTTTTCAAAAAAACATGGTGGTAGAATTAAAGTTTGATGTGATAAATCTTTGAAAATGTGATCATTTTCCAAAAAACCAAAGATATTCTGAAAGAGGAAACTTCACTGCATCTTTCTATGATAAAAACTCAACTTCGATATTTCTTTGAAAAATTGGATTTTCTAAGGGAGGGTGCTCCCTTAAGCAAATTACTGTTAAAAATGTACTATTTCGATGGCTTGTTTAATAGTGCTAAATCGTTGTAAATAGACATTTTTAGATGTAACAAAAAAATTGATCAATTGTTGCTAAACATTGACAATAAAAAGGAATAATACATATACTGGTTATAAAATATTGTCGAATTTTACACTAAGCACCTGAAGTATTTAATAAATCGAATTCATAACCAGTCTCGAGAATACTTGATAAAAGACCAATTAATATTATAAGTATGTTGCATATAGATGCAATTAGAAAATAAAAGGTACATGGTGTTCTACGATAAGAATTTTCAGCTGATAAGATATAAATATTGATTGCATTAAGGGTCATCCATAAAGGACGTTCACACATTTACTATGAATACTTCCCTTTTTTCCACACAACTTTCGACGAAATTTTCAAGGTTAGCTTGTTTTCAAAAACATTTTCAAATAGGAAATGCACTGAATGAATCAATTGAATATGAAAACAGTATTGAAATAATTCAAGATCATAGGGCATGAGCAAATAGTTATTTTGTGAAGTAGTTGTATGAGATCTTCGAGTACCATTGGAATTGAATTTCAGTTTTTTGTCTTTTTTGCAATAGGTTAAATTTTGTTTGTTATTTATTTATTTTCATTTTGATATATTTACTTCATGAACTGTTATTTAATAAAAAAAATGTAGTATATTTGAACAAGCCATCTTTTCCTGAAAGTTGTTTTGGTCTGAACTTTAGAATCTGACTATGTCTAGACCCGAAAGTGTTGGATTCAAGACATGATTGATTCAACGCATGCTACACCTAGATGGAGTCTTTATACGGCCATCGATAGTTATATGTATCGAGACAAGGTGACTTATCTGGTTATAAATGGCTATTGAGATCGAATGAACTCTCTTTATGACGGTGAATGCAATCGTATTTGTGCTCCGTCAGGTGGTTTTATTGGTCTTGGCGATGGTAAATGTAAGGACTTTGATGAGACGGCAAAATTATTGGGACATATATGGGTTGCTCCACACGGTAAATAAATTCGTGACACTACTAGATTGAATTTCTTCATAAATGTCAGAAAAGATACAAAATAAAAGCATATTTTCCACTTATTATGCGGTATGCACAGTTTTGGTAATAAAATGTTTTCTGACTCTTATTCCTTGCACATCGCATAACTCAACGTGCAAGCGGAATAAATCATTGCATACACAATGCAACCTTTCTTCTATTTTCTTACCTATGACAAGCAGTATTTCACATAAAACGAAATACACGATTCACTATTTGTTGGCTTTGATAGACTCATCCCACTGACGTCGAAAAGTAAAAAATATCGACATGTTAAAATCTCGAATAAAAGAAAATCTCGAAAATAAAGGGTGTAGATGTGAGTATGAGTGTGATTCGAGAATAGAAATCCACATTCATATCTATACCCAACGGTCATGTATGCCATACTGCTCTCTTGATTAAACTTTGAAGATTCGGTATGCCACTCGATCTACTGAAAATGATTGAAAACTGTTAAAAGATAGAAAAGCATGCATAGTATTTAGCAGGACAACATCGAAAATCTTTGATATACAAATAGGACTTTCGCAAGATAGTAGTTTTGGTCCGTACCTATTTGCTGTAGGCCATTACGATCCAATAAACTGTCTGGGTATTCATTTAGACCATCTCTTCGCAGATGATCTTAGTGTACTTATAAGATCACCTATCATGAAGACCATAGCTCTGATGATTCAATATGTAGAGAAAGAAGGTAAGTGGATTTGCGATCAAATGCATGCACATTCGAAAATATGGAAATAACCGATAAATGTATCAAAAATAGTGACACGTTTGTTTCAATTCAAGTACATAGACTAGCAGTGAATGTAACAATGAATGGAGAAAGATCACATAGATTAAAGAATTTAACAATTTAGAAGTTACACAGATTGACAGAATAGCCTTGAAGCTCACAGTTGAAAAGTGTGTAGGAAATATTCAAAAGTCCCCTAGAAAACAAGTTTTTTATTTGAAATACGAAAAAAATATTTATTGAAGTTATATATTATGAAGAAAAAGATTATTTTCAGTTCGTATAGCCAAAATATTTGGAGCAAAAAGAAGAGCATTCCAAGGTGATGGTTCATATATAAAGGTTCTTTTTAGTTTTCCATCTTTACTAATTTGAAAAATATTTGAAGTATTTTCAATAACGATGAGCCATTCACTAGATTGAATTTGACAACAATGAATTGATGGTTGATACGAAATATGATTTATGTTAAGTGAAAATGACCAAAATTGAGTTAATGTTGTTGATGATCGAAGTTCAAAACGTGCTGTTTTAGTAGAAGAATCAGCAACAATTAAAGCAAGTGTTTCATTTGTATAACTAATGTCATGAATAGATTCATGTTGTTTACATGTATCTGGTGATCTCCATCGTTTTATTAATTCAAATGAAGATAAAAGATTAAATTGAAAAATATTTGCATCTGTTCCATATGTTGATAGAAAAAGAGATTTATCAGAGCATGTAGAAGACCACCATTTTTCTTGTGGAATTGTTTGAATAACTGTAAATGATAATGAACTTTCATTTATAAGATAAACAATTCTTTTATCTGTTATAATTATAAAATTAGTTAATGTTGCTGACCAAGACATATCATAAATATGTCCATATTTCCATGGAATTTTTTGAATAAGTATTAAATCTCGATTAAATAAATTTAGATAATCACTTTCATAAATTAATAAATTTTGATTATTTGTAGCAAATGCGACTCCTGATTGAGCAGAACAATCAATTGATCTATATGAAGATAAAAGTTGAAAATCATTTGTTTGTTCGATTTTTGGTTCTTTAACATATGTTAAATTCTCATCAATGAACAAAGTAGGAATATTCATTTGAATACCTTTTTGTTCAATTTCTTTTATTTGTTGATTAATATAGCGAATAGCTGTTGTTGATTGATTAATATCTTCATGAGTAGTTTTTTTCTTACGAATTAGTCCATTAAGTTTTGATTGCATTAGATCAATACCTTTTCGTGGTTTAGACAATTTTTCAGTCCAATCTTGATCAAGTTCTTTGCTTTTTTCTTCATAAACACGATCAATTGTTTTATAAGAATCATCACGCCATTTATCTAATTTTTGACGAAAATCATTTATCAATTTATTTCTATTAATTGCCATATATTGATTAGAAACACTTTTCATTTCTTCAACTAAACGGTTAACTTCCGAATTAAGCCAATCATCATGTTCTTTTAAATGTTCACGACAAAGATTTTTTTTACATGTATAACACAATACATCTGATGATCGTTTGCATGTTTCAATAGAGCATGGTAAAGACATGATTGTAATAATAAAAATAAAAATGCGTCTCTTTCGAAAATTGTTAATGTCATGTAAAGAGAAAAAAAATGAAAAAATAAACATAGTTACTTTTTTTTTCTTAAATGGAAGAAACAAAAAAAGGTTGATTTGTCGTCGATAAAGAGAAATGTAAAAATATGTTATATTCATTGACTTGACTTATGCTTTCAGAATTGTCTTATTCTACATGATAAAAGAAAAAACCAAATTCACAGAATTGATGATCAATAGACTTTATTTTTTAATTATCTCTGAAAAATTCGAACGAAGAAAATTAATTTTAGTATTAAAATGTTTTGGAATTCTTTGGTTTAACTATGAACCAATTAATTAATCAATTGTATATAAAACATGTTAAGTAGTACGATTCAATGTCAATCTTTAACCATTATCCAAGATCAATCATATGAAATTGATCTGTTTTATGTGCATTTTTTAATATACTTTAACAAATTGTTTCAACATGTATTTGATGCCAAAGTTCTTCTTCGACAAAACTGTTGAACTTGTTTTTTTTAAAGAAAAATGTTCTGTTTGTCTGAAATTAACATAACTAATAGTTACTTGATCATTCATATTGCGATCTCAAATGCTTATTTAAAAGACTTCGATGGACGATTCATTACATTGATATTATCTAATAACAATTTATATGTATTTCGTCACTGATTATGCAAATTCTTAAATTAATTCTGCAAAATAGAGTTCAACTACGATAAGAATTAATGAAGATATTTTTAATGATTCCATATTTATTTGCAACTTCAAACTGTAGTATAGTAATGGTTTCTACCATAACGAAAATAATTTCGATTCTTTTCTATTGAATAATCAATGTTGATGAGATGTGAAACTTCTCCGATATAGTTATATTTAAGAATTAATCTCAGTATTGTACACTTGATCGCTTGAATTCAATTAGTTTGATGTCAAACATACAAAATAAAAATTGATGATTATTGAAACTAAAAATATTTTGAAATAAACTTTTAAAATTTTGCAGAAACTGTAAAAAGCATGTTCTTTTTTGGGTCAGATCAAAAACTCTTTTTTTATCAACAAATGCAGAGTACTTGCCGTCTTTTTTAAAGTATTTCCACATGTAACAGGAACTTAGAACGAAGCACGAATTAAGATAATTTTTGAACCTCAATGTCTCAAATTTGATCGGAAGATTTCCTCAATCGATGACAAAATGTGTATAGATTGTATTGGATTGTAGTAATACGACGAATGATTCTAACACCTTATGTCACATCGCTAATTCTAGATTTTTAATGGTAACTTGCTTGAACAAAGACCTCTACAGACGAGTTTTTTGTGGAGTATCGAGAGAAAAGGTCAAGATAAATTTGATGTATAAAAACATGTTCTAGGAAAGTTCAGAATCTAGAGATATATGCATTGCTAACAGAATGAAGTTGCCTATATATATCGTTCGAATATATTACAGTAATTTTATGTATAAAAATGATGAGATAAAACGTTTGTTTAGTACACAAGCAGTTATATATAAGAAATCGAGCGAAAACGAAAAGAAAACGATGGATAAATAGATATTGAGAAACCGATTAAATAAAAGCGGATAATTTACAGACGAATACAAAAATGAAATGTTCAGAGAAGCCATAGCTAATAAATTGTCTTTCAACAATTTGAATTGAACAAAGATGAAAATTGACGATAAAATATACGTTTCTTGCTATTTGAATTGTTTACTGAAGTCTTTCTATTATCATGACCAATTTAATTTAACTTTATACTGATTAGTTTGCTTCAAACATTAAGATTCACGTTTATTCATCCTTGCTTTTTTT